AAAAGCACCGCTAGAAAAAAAAATATCAAAAATCAAACGATTTTTCAGCAACATCAAGCTTGCACTTTATTGTGCTAAAATTTAATGGGCTACAAAACTGCATACATAATTTTTTTATTATTCTGATAAAAAACTTGAAGTTTTACGAAAGTTTGTTGAACTTTGTTTAAATCTTACACAAGGTTTGAAACTAGAGTTTTTGTGGTTTTAGGTGCAGAATACACAATTAAAAACAAGTAATATAAATTAAGCCGCTGTGGTGTAGTGGTAAGCAGTGCGCGCTTTCACTCATCACCACCTGGGTTCAAGCCCTGGTCAAAGCAAAATCGCAAAAAAATATAGAAAAAAAAGGTTTTTATTAACAGCGGCCGCCTCTGGGCAGGCTATTGCAAACCTCCGAGTGCATTTCTGCCATGAAAAACAGCTTCTCATAAAAATACAATCGCTGTTCGGAGTCGGCGTAAAACTGTAGGTCCCTCCGCTTTGTGTGACAACATCAAGGGGCACGCCACAAGTCGGAGGAGAAGCTTGGCCAAACCCCAACATAAGTGTAAGCGCCAATCTATCATCATCATCATTATCAATATAAATTAAATAACAAAAAAAATAATAATTTGTTAAAACTTGTCTATATGTGTTCCGGTTATAATTTTCCAATAGGGCGTAAAGCAAATATGGAATACTGGAAGTTGAAAGGTGATAAGCCTATCTTTTTAATCTTACAGGAACTGAATACGCCTTGAATTTAAAGGAATTTAATAATTAAAGTTTTCAATTTAATACGTGTACATCGTTTATTAAAAATATAAATATCATATATCGTCGTTTAAAGTACAAAACCGCATATCGTGATTCTGCAAAACCGCGTAACTGACATTGGCTGCCGAAAATTGGATTTGCTCACACAAGCTCTTGGCTCAATCCTTATCCATTCGTCCTGAAATATACTAGGCAGATATGCGACTGCTTTATAAAAAAGAGAACCATTTTGAAATATGAGTGTTCTTACGCTCTAGAAATTAATTTCTACAACTTCAGATACGCGGTTTTGCATTTTGCTGATACGCGGTTTTGCACTTTAAACGACGATATGTATGTACATATGTGCATATTTAAATATTTATTAATTAATCATCACGACACCAGCATATAAAATCAGCCTTGAAAATAAATATTAAAAAAT